TTGCTGGAAGGATGGGGTATAAATGCAATAAATTAATAAATAAATCTTGCTTGTGTATATAATGGTTATCACTTCCCATTCCTAATGGTGAATTTTTGTTTTGCTTTCTTGTAAATAAAGGCATGCGATGAAAAATGATGTTGGCCTGTGTCATATAGGCCCCTTCCAACGTCATTATTCTGTGATTCGAGATATCCATTGGTGTAAATTTCAGCAAGTTTAAATTAGAAGGGAAAAAAACAAATAGGGATTTCCTGGGCTGGGCTGAGTGATATGGCTTCTTAACTCCAGTAGGCAAAAGTAATCAAATTCTGGCCATATTGTAAGAAATCTTGTGTTCTGTTTGCTTTTTAGGGTTCTGTCGTGAAAAATGGATATATGTACATAAAGAAAGTACCAAAGAAGTAAGTGTTATGTACACACAGAGCGTATTGTGTGTTTCTGGTAAACATCCATTCCATTAGGCCAGGGGTCTCCAAAGTTTTGAGCTTGAGGGCCACATTGTATATTTTTCATATTTTTGAGGGCCAAAGTAATGTCCGCATACATACGTCTGCATACACCCATGCCTGCCTGCACACATGCCTGCCCCCCCTGCCTGCCTGCCCCTGTGTGCGTGCATGGGCTAAAGCAGTGGTCCCCAACTTTTTCTGAACCGCAGACCGGTTGGGGGGTCGGGGTCCATGCGCGGGGGGCACCCCCTGCACTCACAGGAGGGCCGGGTGCACTCGTGAGTGGGCAGGGCACCTGTGCATGCAGGTAGACAGGCCACACGCGCAGGTGGGGTGCATAGGGGGAGTGCATGCGAGGGAGGTGGGAGATCTGTCTCCATGGCTGGTCCGGCCATGGACCAGCACTGAGCCGTGGACCGAAGGTTAGAGACCCCAGGGCTAAAGGGAACAGTCCGGATAAAACGGCAAGCTGTTCTGGATGTGGCCTGCGGGCTATAGTTTGGATACCTCTGCATTAGTCTACTCCTTTTAAAAATATATTTTAGTCCCCTTGGGGTAGTTTTCTGCTCTTAAAACCTGGTAAAAGTTGTAATTTTTGCATCTGTATCCTATTATGCTATTTTTGCATGTAAAATGGTTTGTGATGAAGTCTTATTGTATTATTTTTTAATGACACAATACATGGATAAGTATTACATTAGGTGCTTAATAAGTTAATTATGCTTGCTATAGGTGGGGGGCTGACTTGTTTGGGGCAGTGGGGTAGATCAGAATCAAATTTTGGACTGGCTACAGAAAATAATTGAAATATCCAGGTTTCAGAATTAAACCAGTCACCTTGATTTTCTTTTCTTTTTTTAATAATAATAATAATCAAGGAAGTTGTTAGCTGGATTACCCAAAATAACAAGGCTGTATGCATGACCTTCCCCATATAGATAGATTGGGGGGAGTAACACCAGGCATGGAAGGTGAGCTATCAGTTGAACACATACAGGCAGAGTGAGTCAAGGCTAAACCACAACCATCCCCTACTTTTGTGAAGAGTGTATGGGAGCTCCCTTCTATGGTTGTGGGGCAGTGCTGGTGAGTGTGGGCGGGTGGTTAAGGGGAGGTCCCTTCCAGATCTGCTGTTCTAAGATTCAAGGCTATTGTTTACCTCACCCATTAGGAAGCTGCCTTGTGCATAACTAATGTGTTTCTTTTTTCCTCCCTCTCCTTTCCCCCCCTTTTCTTTTCAAGAGGCATGGCTATTGCACTCTGGGAGAAGCTTTTAATCGCTTAGATTTTTCAAGCGCAATTCAAGATATCAGAAGATTCAATTACGTGGTTAAAGTAAGATGTTCTTGTTAGGATCTTCTTGTACCATATAGTTCTGTGATTTCATTTAGCTTAACTGTTAAAAAAAATAATCAACTTGCTGCAACTTGGTGACCTCCTGGAGAGAGTTCATCTGGAACTGGGCGAAAGCAATTGCCACCATTTATCAAATTAAAAATTAATCATGGGTTTTATTATGTCAGTGTTTAAACAGTCAGAAACATTTCTCCAAGTGCGATGTGAACAGTACTCCCTCTGCTTTGGATTATATTCTGAAATGGCACCCTTCCCTCCCCCCCACCTCTCTCATTTAAATGAGCCTTAAAGCTCTCCTTTTAAGGTTTCTTTTCAACCAGCCTGCCAAGGTCTGTATTGGCTTTCTTCCTCTGGCAGTGCTGTCTTGTAACACAAGAATAGTCAGGTGAAATGCTTTTAGGAGAGCATGTGGCTGAGAGCTGCTTTTAAATCTCTTATTTATGTAACAGTACAGTGGTGCCCTGCATAGCGACGATAATCCATTCCGGAAAAATCGTCGCTATCCGGATTTGTCGCTATGCGAAAAAAAGCCCATAGAAATGCATTAAACCCCGATTAATGCATTCCTATGAGCTTAAAACTCACCTGTAAGCGAAAATCCTCCATACGGCCACCATTTTTGCTGCCCAGTATGCGAGGAATCGGCGCGAAAACACAGTGGGTGGCCATTTTTTTTCCGGCGGCCATTTTGGAACCGCCGATCAGCTGTTTTTAAAACATCGCTATGCAAAAGTCACCAAATGAAACAGCTTACTGATCATCGTAAAGCGATTTTTTACCATTAGAAACATCCGTCGCTATGCGGATTTATCGTTAACAGAGTTGCTCATTAAGCGAGGCACCACTGTAATACGGTTTTAGAAATTGGTTATTTTTTTGTTTTTTGCTATTGTTCCTAAAAATTGTAGTTAGTCTTACGTTAGTGCATTTATAATCTGGAAAAGAAGGGCGTGTTCTGTTTGTATATGTTCGTGTAATATAGGGGAGCTTATGAATTTTTATAGCAAATCATATGATGGAGTTTGATTTCTATGTTTTGTTATTATTTTGCATTCTTTTGGTTTATATTGTTGCTGTTAAAGATATCAGTTACCTTAGATCTCTGTTTCAGCTGTTGTATTTGCCAGGTATTTTGCCAAATAGAAGTGGACCTCAAGGTGATCACATGCACATTGATTTGTCCTTCGACACCTCTCACTCTTCCCATAAAAAGGGGGATGGGGGAGAATCGGACTTTTTGGAACTGATGCCAGAAACTTTGATCTGAATTCAAGGGCTGATGCAGACATAGAGTTAAATGGTGCATGGAGAAAACTTCTGGGGTTCATTCTTCTTGGATTCTTTCAGGAGATGGTATTCCCATTCTGTTTGCACCCATTGGGTCCTAAAACTTTCAGGAAATGCAAAAGTTCTATTTAGGTTGTTTTCTTTTGCATATATTACTGGGGGGGGGAGCAGTGGAAGTGAGGCAAAAAGAGGAGTGAAAATACTTCAGATGCATGTTACATAGAGGCAACCCAACAGAAACCTGATATTTTCAAGAACCTGAAATTCTCAGATTTGGAGACTCTCTAGGAAAGAATCTCAAAACAACAACAAAAATTTGCTGCTTTGAAGTAGCAATTTTTAATAAAAAAAATCACAGCTGCCCCTTCCCCCAAAAAAGGAGAAAAAAAAGCAAGCAATACAATAAAAGCATCCCCCAAATTGTAATTACTAGAATATGGGGAAATTTTTCTCCCCTGTACCACTTAATGCCATCTTTCCTATGTCTAGCAGGCAGGCAGTCCGTCCAGACAGGTAGCAGCAAAAATAATCTGAAGAAATTGGGAAATTATCTCTAGATAGGCTGAAAAAGGAAAGGGTCCAACTCTAAGGGGGAAGCATGGAGAAAGATGGGCAGCACAATGCAAGATGGAGGGCACAGGGAGCTAGTATGCAATTTTTCACAGGTGGCTGAAGCAAAGCTGTCCCCTCACTGGGTTCCTGCCTATCCAAGCCATTTTATAGGTTCAGAATTTCCAGTTGTCCCCCTCCCCAACTTCCCTTCTGATTGGCTGATGACAACAGCCCTCACCATGCTGTTGGATGAAAAATGTCTTGGGTGACTTGACAAAGGGTGAAAGTGAGGTTGAATCAAATAGGGAAACAAAAAGATGGGGAAACCTTTGTGTTTTACCACTCCGGTTTATACAAAACATGTATTCTGAAGGCTTTGTTTCAGGAATCAACAAAAGAATATGAAAATGAAATAAATACTGTAGAAGCTTTTGTATTTTTCCCTTTCATGTTCACATGAAAGGCCTACTATCTCTAGTAGGAGCAGTAATATCAGTTTAGATTTAGGTGAGCTTAAGGAAGTTATATGCTTATTTGCATGTTATGTGACATCACGTTGCTTCACACTGGTTGTCCCAGTGTTCACCTAAATGCTTATTTTAAATGTGTATTATGAAAAGCCGATAAATACTGAAAAAGCTGTGCGGATCCGAGTAGGACTTCTCAGCAACCTTGCCACAGCACAGTAATACCCCCACTTAGTACTTAGGATATGTCCCAAGAAAACGGAGCACTAAAGGGTATCACCCAATCTTAGGCATGGAAAGCATGACTCTACCAATGACTATGGAGGGACAAAGGCCCACCTTTATGGGCAGTTGTTCATAAAGAACGTTCTCTTCTTTTCTCTCCTCTCCTTCACATTGCCTAGTCTTGCTGGTCTGTGGCTTGTTTCTGATGCCCAGGTCTGGTGGGCCACCACTGCCCCTGCCCGACCCCGAAACACTCCAGGCAGGTTTGCCTCAGCCGGTCTTGCTCTGCCCACCTCTTCTGGCAACTTGGCAAAGGGGAAAACCCCGTAGGGCACCTACAGCCAGTCCTTTTCCTGTTTCCGCCCAGCAAGGCATGTGCTGTGATCTCCAAGCTATTCCCTCCTGTGTGTCCAGAAAAGCGCTTGCTCTTGCTTCCTGGGCCGCCCCTGCTGTCTCTTCCTCTTTCTGTCCTACACATGGACTGCTGTGTCCAGGCACACGTCTGCACACATGGGCTCTCAGGGCCCCAGCCCTGCCTGGGTCTCTTCATGCACCATGTAGGAGATGGAGATGGTGAGAACAGCATGGGCCCTCCCTCTGCCCAGCTACTCTTTGAGGGTATGGGAAGCCCAGAACTGTGCAGTGGGGCTGTTTACAGAGTGGCCCCCGGTGGGGATGCAAAGGTAGAGGAGGAGAGAACTCCAAGGGAACGCCGTCAGCAGCCACCTGATGAGCCATCTGCATGATGATGAATCAGCGATGAACAGGGCAGCACTGTGTGGAGTATTACAGTATTGGCCTCATTTTATCAAATGATTCTTAAGTTTGAATGTTAAATGCTGTGTGAGGTCAAAGCTTGGAGTATTCCACAAGTATTCCTTCAGGAGAAGGTTTACTCAAGACTGTGTGCTCACTCGCTCGCGTGCTCCCACTCTCCGTGCCAGGAAACTGATTTTAGATAGAAAGCAAATGTCACACTACTGTGCAGGTCATTGACTTAATTAAAAGCAACTCCTCCTCATGATGAATACAGCTTCTGTTCAGAAAGGAGTATGCAGGACTGGAGCCGTAATCCTGCAAATGATCTACTTTATACACACTGAGCTGGGGCTAAGCTCCATTCAACACAGAGGGGGCTTACTTAGTTCCATCTACTGACCTCTGAGGAAATGTGTAGAAATGCAATGTGGTTCAGTTAAGATACTTTGAAATTTTGAACATGTCTTTTAAACATGCAAACACAAATACACCCCCCCTTCCAATCCCTATTTTTTCTTTTTCTCTGTCTTGCATTCCCATTGTGATCAGTGGGACACAGTTGTTGAATCATGTCCAAAGGTGTTCAACGATAGTGTTGTAGGGGTGGGTGGGTGGACGAATAATGAATGTTTTAATCTTCTTTTGGTGAAGTAAAGCAGAAGGCTATTCTAGAGGATAAAGTGGTTTTTAAAGATAAAAAATTCAGAGTATGACTAAGCCACTAACCAGAAGGCTGTAGCTCTTTTGTCTGCATGGAGCATGTTTGCAGAGGAGGACCCGAAGGGCACTCAGTTATGCCCCTTCTGTTTTGAAGTTAGGGGTGTTAGAGATTTGAAGGGAAATGAGGTGTAATTTGTGAGCGGCTTCTGATGTTAACACCGGGTGCTGACAAGTGGAAGCCCAAGGGGCTAGCGCTCCTGCCGGGAGGCTCAAAGGGCAATTTGTGTGCATTGTTGAGGTCAGCAAGCCCAAGATTCAAAATACAGTATATGACTAAGAGTTGGGTTGCATTGATGAAATAAAAGGGGTCTTGGGTCAGGGGTTTTGAATTCTGCTTTAAAGTTACGTGGTTTTTGTGTCAGGGGGTGTGTCCTCTTGCCTCTTCATGAGGTTTTGTTGATTGCTTGCATCTGGTAGAGTGAAAGAACAGAATGCCACACAGGAGGGAAGAACTTAAAATGGAGGTTTCCTTACAGTCCGACACATGCAGGGAGACAGACAGACATCTCGCTTTCCCTCCCTTCCCTTCAAGCAGCTCCTTATTCACTCACTTGTGTGTGTGTGTCCCCACCCTCCCATTGCAAACCTTGTCAGTTTCACTCACACACACACCCCTCAGTTTGGGCCAGATAATAAAGAGCTGAAAATAAAGAATTGGCAAAACTAACGAAGTAGAGAGATCTGGTGATCAAAACATCTCGCTTGTGGATGAAACACACTTCAGTGCTCCCCATAGTCATCGGGGCTTTGGGAACAATAGCAACAAATTTCATACAGTACTATAAGCAGCTGCAGATCTCGGAAATCACACCACCAGAGCTACAAAAAATGACAATATTAGGAACAGCATACATACTGTGTCAATATTTAACAGATACTTAGTTTTTTGGTTAAAACTTGTATCTGTTACATAATACCAATCAGTGTTTTTCTAATTTTGACTGTGCCTAGTGTTTTTTAATAATAATTTTAAAAACAGGCTTGAGTGAAATTTGGGAAAGGAAGGTGGTGGTGGGAGAGGGGGTGATGGCAATGTTTATTTACATGGACACGGAGGCATTTACGTATGCTGGCACTTGCTGGTCCCGACTGGTGTACCAGCCAGAGGAAAGTGGTTGTGAGAGTCAGCCAGCAGGAGGGCTCCTTAAAAATTAATGCCGACAGAGGCATTCACATATGGGGAATCAATTTAAATGAATCAATTCCACAGACAAGTTAAAATAAACTGCCCTCTGGCAGAAGAGTAGGAAAAACTCACTGCTACTCAAAGAAACATGATTCCCTGTCAAATTAATCCATGCTTCCTCTTTTAAACATTGACTTAAAACACGCTAAATCCAATTTAAACACGTAGTTTTTAAAGTAATGGAACTGCGTCCTTAGAGTTCTGGCAACATCAGAAGCGTCACCAATAGACATGGGGGCTTCATATTGGTCTCCCAGAGGAGGCAGCTATGAAGCCCACCAGCACAGGTGCCCTGATGGTCCTTCCCTGCCCCCCAGAACCAGCCCAGGCTCCGTGGTGCATGTGCACCCAGCAGCAGCAACATTGCACCAATCGCGGATGTAGCCCTGCTGGCACTTCCCCACCTCTCCCTTCAGCCAGCCACTCCAGCAAGGAGGCGGGAAGACGAGCCTCCCAGCTCAGCTACTGAGGGGGGAGAGGCAGGGAAGCACCAACAAGACAACATCCATGATCGGTGTGATGTTGCCGCCGCCGGGTGCACATGCACCAAGGAACTCGGTGAGTAGACGGGGGTTGGTTCTGGTGGGAGGGGAAAGACACCTCGAAGCTCCCATGTCTAGTCACTGACTTGCAGAGTGCTTTCCTGGAGTTACTGTTAGTTTTTATTAATTTCTTCCCCTAGCAAATGCTACTATTATGAAATGTCATTGTTGACATTACCTAGCACCACAGTGGCAAGACTGAGCGATTCCCAGTAGAGGGTCCACCGTCCTAGCAGCGCAACCATCTCTACTTTGCTCAGGCTAATCCAGGAAGAGCCGATGCGGTCTCAAAGCTCTCTGTGTGGATGCTCCTCTGTCTTTTCCTGCCTGAAGGGCCACTGGGGGGGCTGGGCTCTGGGGCCCCTCCAAAATCCAGAGCTGATAACAAGCACCATCAAAGTGCCTGTGCTTTGCAGAGGACAAGATGACAGGCTTCTGCTGCACAAAGCTTTCAGTCTAAAAGGCCACGTGTGAGAGACACAAGCAGAAGACTATACCCCTTTACAGCCCTGCCTTTTTTGTTTGTTTGCTTTTTGTATTTGAGGAACTTAATTAGTTGTGCTTCATTTGGCTTTGTTCATTTTCTAATAGAGGCTAATTACTTTTAGCTTTTGCAGTTGATCGCAAAATCCCAGTTAACGTCCTTGAGTGGTGCAGCTCAGAAAAACTATTTCAATGTTTTGGACAAAATTGTTGGAAAAGGTAGGCCTCATCTGTCCTGATCTGCTTTAAAATAACTTGTAAATAATTTTCCAGCTGTTGCTTACTTGCCCTTGATGTTCATGTTTTGAGAAATAAATTTATCCTGCATTTAAGCCCTTTGGCTTTAGCCATAGACTCATGCAGGGGAGCAAGCAGAGTCTGTTCATTTTCTTTTTTTCTTTTCCTATTCGTCTGCTTGCTTTAGCCATTTATATTTAAAAATGTGCACATGGTTTTGTGTTGATGTTTTACCTCCAAAATGCCCCACAAGCCTCACAAATGTGTGAAATTTTGAGATGAGATGCATTTTATCTTGCAACAAGTCTTGGAAGGTGCAAGGTGGCTTGGAAGGTGGCTGCTTTTATCAAGATGGGCAATTCTTAACAAAATTCTTGTTAGGGTCAGATTAGGACCAGGAAGACCAAGGTTCAAATATTCACTCAGCTGTGGAAGTGGTTAGATAACATTAGGCAGTGTTGACACACTTGCCAGCCTACGCCACAGACTTAAAACTGATGAGGGGAGTTCTTTGTAAATTTGCTGAGCTCCTTGTACATATAAAAGTATTGGACAGAATCTAATTGGAAATCTACTCTGGCTTCAGTGCAACTCTGGTGTAACTCAGAGCAGTGGGTAGCTGCTAATTAAGAAGTCCCTGATTGAATTTCTAGTCACATGCCGAATCACATAAGCAGTACTTAACAAGAAATTCTCTCAGGGGCTTGTTAATTGGTGACTATACGCCACCCCAGATTAAACTGTCGCACTTCTGCAAGCATAAGTATTCAGTTTGATGCTGGTCACTATTATTTTGTTGCCTCATTATTGTTGTTTCAAATTGCAGTTAAAAAATTAATTTGTGTTGTCATTAACATAAGTATAAAATATGTCAGTGACAGTCTTTTCAAAAGAATCGGCAAAATCCTGTTAGCCTAACTTTGCACTGCATAACCTGGATCAGGTTCTGGAAGCATTTAATTTAATGATATACCGTATTTGCCAGCGTATAAGATGACTTTTTTGGCCCAAAAAACATGCCTCCAAGGAGGGGGGGTCGTCTTATACGCCGGGTGCACTTCAGTTGGGCCAGGAAGGAACTGCTGCCGCCATTGTTGAGTGATGCAGGGCCGCGCCGGCCGGGGAGGAAGGCTGGCGGGCAGGCAGGCGGTCGGTCCATCTGGACAGAGGGAGGGAGGGAAGCAGAGCCGGCCATGCCTGAGCAGCCAGAGCCTGCCGCCAGGCTGCCAGCCGCCCTGCGCCGCTGAGCCACCTTCTCCTCCTCCTCCGCTGCCACTGCCCGCCCAGCCATTTCCCCTCCTCGTTGCTGGCCATAAACTTCCAGGGCGGGACTGGGCAGAGCCCTAGGCAACCAGCGCCGCAGCAGAGCCGTCCACTCTGTATTTTGAGTGGAAATGTTGGGGGGTTGTCTTGTACGCCCAGTTGTCTTGTACGCCGACAAATACGGTAATTAAAAACTTCCTGTCCTCCACTTTTTAGTTTTTGAGGCTCTCTCCGGGTCTCCTTTTTGGGGAAGTCTTTAGGAGCCTCAGGATGGGAGTGGTGGGGAACCTTTAATATATATATTTTTAAAAATCACTGCTAGATCATTGCTAGTGGTCCCAATCCTGGTGGTGGTGACCCATCATCATTTTTTTAGTATCAAAGGTCCCCTCCCAATATTCTGAGGCTCCCAAAGGCTTCCCCAGAGCAAACGGGAGCCCCAGGGAGCCTTGCAGCCTAAAAGGAGGGGATAGGAAGCTTTTTATGGCTTACAATTAAACATTTCCCATGTCTGATTGGGGTTACGCAAGCACAAAGTTACACAACAGGATTTTGCCCACTGAGTTTTAAAAATTGTGTTCCACTGGTCAGTTGACTTAGTCTGTTTTGAGTCTTCTGATGTCTAATGCATATTTGGTGTGTGTGTGTGTTGAGGCTTGGGCTTTCCAGGTGCTTTGAACTGCAACTCCCGTAGTTCTTTGCTACCACTGATCTGGGTTTGGTTGCCAGGAGTTACACACTAAAACATCTGGAAAGTTGAGAGATTTCCCACCCAGCTTCTTAGAAAAGGGCATCTTTTGCTTCATGATTTTTTTTTTAAAAAAAACTTGCACTTTAAAATAGACAGTTGTGGTGGGTGTGATTTATTGTTCAGTTGGAACATCTCTAGCGCTTTTCTGTACCAGTGAGGTGGATGTGGTGGGAGGCAAGGCTCTCTGAAAGTGCAGTTTTCAGTTTTAGGCAAGAGAATGAGACTTCTGTCCACCATAGCCAAAACCAAGAATTTTGATGTGTCTTTTAAAATTCACATTTTAAGTTCTGGAAGACCAATATAACCCACGGCTCATCAAAGACCTTCTTCAGGACCTGAGTTCTACCCTCTGCATCTTAACCAGCGAAGGGAAGTCATTGCTGGTTGGAAACATCAATATCTGGATTTGCCGATTGGAAACTATTCTCTTGTGGCAGGAGCAGCTCAGTAATCTTCAGATGACCAAGGTGTGGATGAATTTCTATCCGTGTCAAATAAGAAAAGACTGTTTCCACAGGGTGTCCAAACAAGGGCAAAGTTTCAAAGACAATAGATTCCACCAAGAGTCTTCTTTTAAGAACGCCTTGGCTCTTAAGAATTTGAAAATCGAGAGAAAGCATGAGTGGTTGCTATTTTGAAACCTACACACACATATAAAGGCTTATTTGCTGACATTGTCACCTTTATTAAAGTCCTAGAAAGAATGATCCTGAAGCATTTAATGGTGGTAGTGGAATCGTTCCTTCTCCCATAACAGGCTGACTTTAGACTTGAGAAAATTTGTAAAGCATGAATCTTACACTCAGTGGTGCATATAGAGAATGGTTTTGAAAATATGAACATCACAAAGATAGCTTTTGTTCACCCCTAGGCAGCTTACAACACTGTTGATCGTCAAAATATTTATAATTTAACCAATGAGTATATGCTAATTAAAGTAATAGCTTATTATTAATAGTAATAGTTTATTATTCATTAAATAGTAATATCTTTTTTAAAATTGTAGATTTTTGATTAATTTTCAGGGACAGTGCAGGTGATATAGAAGTCAAAAGAATGGTCTAATTTTGGGTAAGCCAAGGTGTTCTTGGACTGCAACTCCCAGAAAAATTCACCATCAGCTGTGTTGGCTGGGTTTCTGGGAGTTTCAGTCCAAGAACACCTGGGTTACCCAAGGTTGGGAACCACTGGTCTACTGCATGGAAGCACACTGGCTTCTGTTTTGTTAACAGTTACACCAAAGATCAACCACCTCTTCATGGTCTCTGTGAATGCATGGAAGCACACTGGCTCCTGTTTTGTTAACAGTTACACCAATGATCAACCACCTCTTCATGGTCTCTGTGAATGCACACTATAGGATTTAATCTGCGCTTGCGTAGAAGTTTTTGGAATATTCTAGGGCTTTATCACGCATTCACCAGGACGATCCCCCTAGTACATGTGGTCTGCCCGTCCTGGCGATTGCCTCAGTTCCTTTCTGCCACCACTGAGGTTTCTTCTCTCAGCAAGCTCTCCATTCATGCATATCTTCTCTTTACATTAAAAGAAAAACAGAGGGGAATTAGTGAGAGACTTTCAATTCTATATTCCCTCTTCCAACTGCTCCCTTCCCCTTCCCTTCCTTTCCCTTCCCCCTTTTTCGCCATTTTATGCGCCCTACAGGGCCATTCAGATGGTGCACTTTGTACCCCAATGAGGTCCCTCTTTCAGACAGACATAATTCTTGTCTCTTTTGCCTTCAACTTGCCTCATGCCAGTTCTGTAAAAATCCCATCAACTTGCCTCATGGCAGTTCTGTAAAAATCTCACAAAGCAGGCTAGAGAATCCCATCAACCTGCCTCATGCCACAAATCTCACAAAGCAGGCTCTTAAACTCCGGCAACAATATCTCAGGTCTTTTCTCCGAGAACGCTCCCTTCGCCCTGTACCGGGCATGGAAACTACGCAGCCTTCCCAGGCCCACTCTGCTTCGCCTGATGTCCCTACAACTTCTCCAACATCAAAATCTAAATCAATTTCTGAGTCTAAATCCTCAGGATCTGCATTCACAGAGACCAGAAAGAAGAAAGAGAGGTTACCTACCTGTAACTCTGGTTCTCCGAGTGGTCATCTGTGAATTTACACCTCCTGCCCATCCCCCGTCCCCCCGGTCAGCAGTGGGCTGTTTGGGAATTGAGGCAATTGCCAGGACGGGCGGACCACATGCACTAGGGGGGCGGTCCTGGAGACTGCATGATAAAGCTCTAGAATATTCTGGAAACCTCTACACAACCACAGATTAAACCCTATGGTGTGCATTCGCAGATGACTACTCAAAAGAACCAGAGTTCCAGGTAAGTAACCTCTCTTTTCTTAGGGCACCAGAAGGAGGTAGGTCCCCTAACAACAGATGGCGAGTCACAACTGATTGAGGATTTAGTACATGGAGTCCTGGAAGACTAATAATAGATCTGCATCTGCTGAGACCTTTTTCAGTGATATCAAAATGTATTTGATCCCAAATGTGGACCGAAGGTTTTAACTAATAAACAACTCTTAATTTGCTTTTCAGCAAGTCAGCAGGGGACTTACACTCAGTGATCTTCCTTTGTGTTTGCTGAACAACATCTTGCACAGGTTCTCAGATGGCCGGGACATTATTACTTTGGGCCAAGTAACTCCCACACTCTATGTGCTCAGTGAAAACAGACAGTTGTGGAGAAAGCTCTGCCAATACCACTTCTCTGAAAAGCAGGTAAGGAGAACTTCATGACACATATTCTCCCAACATACAGAGATTCTGAAACTTTGATTCTATGCAAAAAAAAAAACAAGTATTTTCAAAGAAAAAGAAAGACTGGTTTCCCACTGGGGTTTGTTTATGAACCCAAGAAGAATGTCTAATACCAGCAAAACTCCTTATGGCAATAATGTCCAAATGTTCCTTTGCCCCACATGCTTGTGATAAGCATACTTGTTAAAAATCGATCTGATTTCCGTGGAACATGCTTCCATATAATGACAATTGTGCAGTATGAAGCATATTTATTTGTACATTGTTCTGAATTCAGTTGGTCTTGTTCCACAGCGAGTATACCTAACATTACAACAAGCTTTGATCAGCTCAGGATGACCCCGTAGAGCTGTAATTTCCTAAAATAATTTGCAATTGGTTTTCTTTAATTGTGTTCAGAGTTGAACATTTATGTTCCATTAAAGATTTTTTTCCAGCCTGAGTCAAATGCCACCTTTCCCTTCAGTTCTGTAGGCATCTTATTCTGACAGAAAAAGGTCATATTGACTGGAAGCTGGTCTACTTTGCACTTCAGAAATGTTATCCTATAAAGGAACAGTATGGAGACACCTTGAAGTTTTGTCGTCACTGCAGCATTCTGTTCTGGAAGGTAAGATATCAAATGGTTAGAGCTATTCCGCCGTTAATGAGGAAGATTCTTGCTTGGGGAGAGGAATGCCGTTCCGCACATGAGTATCTTTTCATGCAATAAATATCATCTGCAGAGGTCACTGTTCCAAATTATAAATTTCTGAGCATAATTATGGTGGAAGGCAGGGGTGGACAAAGCGCAGCCTTTGAGATGTTGAACTAGAACTCGCAGCAATCTTTCCTGTTGGCTGTGCTGGCTAGAGTTGCTGTCCAGCACCCCCTGGAGAGTCCTTGCCCTTTTCCCACCACTGTTTGAAGAATGAGATTTTCTGCCTTGTGCAGTAGTACATTATTCAGGGGGTGAGTGGGAATGAGAGCATGGTTAATTTCCTTTGGGAACTTAGATAAGGAACACTGGAAGCAGCTTGGATGTCGGTAGCCATGCTAGCCAGTGGATCCTTTGGCTCCCTTGTTGAGTTTGTCCATAATATCCAAATAGGAAACTTGCCGAGGAGACCCTGGCTTTTGCAGATGAGTCAGCAAAAGAAATCCTAACCCATAAAAACCTACTAAGCTGGATAAGACGAATGTATGGTTTGCCTCTGCTCCCTCATTGTGAATGGGGTGTGTGTGTGTGTGCCTTTAGGTCACAGCAGCTGCCAACAGGTTTGGCCTGGTCCACCCACAGAACTTCCCCTTTATGAGCTAGACCTCAAACTGTCCCCTGGTATCCAAGGGTTGGTCCTGAGGAGCTATTGCCATACCGCTGCCCAAACACTCCTTGGCTGCATCAGAGTTGGGAGGAAGCCCAGCTGCTTAACGTGCCGCAGCTGCTGTGGCGAGCATCTTAGTCAAAACTCACGAACACCGTAAGAGCCCTGCTGGGTAAAATCAGAGGTGTGTCGAGTCCGGTGTTCTGTTTCCTGCAGTGGCCATCCAGCCGCCTCGGGCGAGCCCAGAAGCAGAACAGAAGGGGCAGCAGCCTCCTCTTGCTGCAGTTCCCCAATTACCGGTATTCGCCAAGGCCTGCTTCCTGCAGTCGAGCGGCGCTTCCATGGTTGGTCCTAGGTTAGCATGTCCAGTAACAAGCAGATTTTTCTTGTGAAGACGTTTTCACACAGGGGAGGTTTAGCATCTCTTGCTTCAGTCAGGTTTATAAAGAGCAGCGCTCGCTGCATGCCAGCCAGCCGCCTGCCTCTGCATGAACAACCTTTCAGGCCTCCAGGGCAAACAGCACAGGAAATAATCCGACCTTTTAAAACATCAACTCTGAAAAGGCCTTGAAGCCCAAAACACGGGAGAACAAAAGCTGGAAATGAGAGGTGAGAGATTCCTCCTGTCAGTCATTGGCAAGGGCTAATAATCCCGTTCAGAATCTCCAATCCATGTTGTTTCACTGTTAATAGTTGAAGAGAGAGCCTATGCCTGGTCCCTTTGAAGCAAGCTGATTTGAAGGTAACTTACTTCCAGGTCGTGCTTTGGGGATACAGTGTCTGCCACATCAGTGTCTCATGAGATGCCCTGTGTGTGTGAAATAAGACGTCCAAGTTAAATACTGTAATCAGATAGCTTCAGAAAGACTAAATAATACTGTTTTTTAATGATAACAAAATCATTAAGGGTCATTAGTATGTCATAGGATTTTAGGGTAAAGTGTTTACTTTGATATGCAGGATATTGTATTACATAAATGATACTCTTATTTTTTATTTTTATAAAGGGAACATTTCCCCTGCTGATCAGGTTGTGTATATAGAACTGCTTAGCAAAAAGCTGCTGTAAACATGTATTGAGCATGATTGTTTGTTACCATTCTGCCCAGTAAAATCTTTCTCTCTTTTGCTTCTCTGCCCCCCTTCCCGTTTTCTTCCTTCATGACCTCAAAAGGACTACCATCTTGCTTTGTTACTCAAGGTACTTCCATGTGCTTTTTCATCCCAGCTTTTTTCTCTGTCCATATGGTGCAGCTGAAGTAAATAAACTGTTTCTTGTAACCAGCATGCCACGTCCTTAAACATGTTGCTCTCACAGCTGTTGATGTTGTAAAATGTGCTTTTAAAGTACTGTGAGTGAAAACAAACAAATCGAGAAAAACATTGTATTTGCTCTCTGATGTGCAAAGTGCTGCTTCCAGCTGATTTCTGTTTTAAATGTCAGGAAGGCAACTCTGAAGTGAGAATGATGCCAGAACATCTCTTGTTAACTTTAAATCTCCAGAGGAATCGGAGTTCTTCTCTTACATGGCCTGCTTTGTTAGGTTGCTTTTGCCCATATACTAAAGTGCCTTTAATGGATTCTTGATCTCTAATTTTAATATCACCCATATTATATGACCCATATCACCCTTCTCCAACATAGTGCCTTCCAAATGTATTGAACTGCAGTTTCCCTCATCCCACAGACAAGCTTGCTGTGGCGCATGGGAGACATAGTCTGTCCCATCCAGAGGGGGGGGCTAGGTTGGGTTAGACTGGTTTCTACAATTAGGAACATAACAAGGAGGACCCCCTGCTCTGTGTTGCAAAGCTGAACTAACCTCGGAGCCATTGCTGCTGTAGTTTACCCTCATCTCAGCCTCCACTATTTCCGACATGGTGCGTGGCAGATGGCGAACCAAGTGCCCTTTATTTCAGAAAGCCATTCTCAAGGCAAAGTACTTGTTTCAGATCCTTCCTCTAAGGATCTTAAACTCATGTACTTGCTGTGCAACCCACCCACCCAACCTCTCCTTTATAAGGGAGGTTAAGCTAAGAGAAAGAGGGACTGCCTTAAATTTGTCCAGTGAGTGTAATGGCTGAGTGGAAAGTGGAGCCTGGGTGTCTTTGGTCCTGGTTGGACTCTCTCTTCTGACCTCTCTAAATCTGGTGCCCCAATTGGTGTGTAGGGCTGCAGTGGCCACCATCTACAGCCAGCGTGGTCGTTTGTTACAGTCCGGCATGTGAGAGTGAAGGGAAGCAAGGGGAACCAAGTTGGGAAAACCGCTCTAGCCAGAGCAACACAACGTCTCTTAAGTTGCCCATGCAAGAAAGCTGAAGCACATCCCGAACAGAAGGGGTGGCTGATTTTGCCTAAGACAATCCACTCCTAACCCAAATAAACAAATACGTACGTTATGTGATTGGTGGTTCCCAACCTTGGGTAACCTGCATTGTTATGTGACTGGTGGTTCCCAACCTTGGGTAACCTGCATGTTCCTGGACTGCAGCTCTCAGAAGCATTTGCCAGCACAGCTGGCGGTGAAGACTTCTAGGAATTGTACTTCCCAGAACCAACTGGGTTACCCAAGGTTGGGAAGTGCATTAGATCAATCTTTTGTAGTGGGTGCCCTTTTCACACCTTGAGGCCTCCATACCTGTGGGCCACCTCTGCTTATATCCATCCTCCGTTTGAGCCTTACTGCTTCTTAGGTTCTAAAAAATGACATAGCACCATCATGACTGGTAGAACTCGATACCTTTATCTTCCTTAATTGATCTAACTCCCTGTTAAGGATGTTCAGGTTGGTGACTGTGTAGCTCCTTGTACCTCTGAGTGTTCAATTCTGCGATTACGTCTGAAGATTTCTGGGGCACTGAAAGTGCAGACAGGATATTTAATTTGAGATAGCAGGTAGTATGGCCGGTGGGGGACTCGAGAGCAAACTAAACAATGTAGAAGATGCAGAATGTGGGAAAAAATTTTTTTGGGGGGGGGAAGGGGATTATTGACCAAACATCCAACTTGCACCAGCTATTACGGCCACTGACTGGCTTGCCTCAGAGATTCTGGGAGTTGTAGCCTTCAGAAATAACTTTTCAGAGATTTAGGTTTATATATGAAGAAGAGGAGGGAGCCGTGAGAGGCAGTAATTACTTGATTGTATGGAGTTACCATTTGCCAGGAGATTTTATCTGGTTGCAGCAGGGTGTGGGAAGGAGACTTCCTGTTTGGGGAGCACTTTGCCTTCTTAAGTTGTCAAACGGCGGTGGCTCATGAAGGAAGCTTGGGGGCCGGGGAGGCAGGCAAGGTGAAATGATACAATGCTTCTGTCTCAAATAGTTCATGTTTGACAGGTGAACAGTTGTCATGGGAATAGTATATTTCAGAAAGCCAGAGAGCTTTGAATGAGAAAATGTGTGCACTTACCACATGTTGACCTTTGTAGCTAGAACCAGCATTCTTTCCCATTTTATTTGTCCTGTTCTAAAGTTGAGAGAGAGAGAAAGAGAGAGATGCATACTGGCCCTGTGACTGGTGATTTGTGTTGAGGTTTTTTTTTTAAAGAATGTTCCAAGCCAAAGAATGGCTTTGTTGCCCCTAACTCTGATTTGGAAATGCACAGCTTTTCAGTTGTCTTTCTAACAAAAGACTGTCTTGAGTAGGAAAAGTTGCCATTGTCATTGCTTACTTTGAAAAAGGAATTTTGTTTTTCTCATAACTTACAGGCTGAATAGCAATCTCAGCGTAACAGTCAGGAATAGCATAAAGCCCAAGGATAGAGATGTGACAGTGTGCCAGGAAATGGCAAGGAGGAGAGTCTACAGCCCCCTTAGCCTCTCCCTTTAGAAGAGAAGTGGAAGGAAAGAGGCCACAGGTGTGCCCTTTCAGTGTGAATGGCAGTTGGATTATGAAGCCAATCGGCTAGAAGGTAGGGAATTGACAAAGAAGGAAGTTCTGTCACTGTAACCTGAATCAAACAGTGTTGTTGCACTAGCACAAGGTCTGTGGCACTTGTTATGTGCCATCCGCTTCCACCTATGGTGACACTATGAATTAATGACCTTCAAAATATCCTGTTATTAACAGCCCTATTCAGCTCTTGCAAACTGAAGGCTGTTGTTCCTTTACTAAGTCATTCCATCTGATATTCTTTCATCCTCTTTTATGCCTACATTTTACATTATTGTCTTTTTCCAGTGAGCCTCATCTCATGATATGGCTAAAATTCGATACCCTTGGTCTGGTCAAGTTAGCTTTTAGAGAGTATTCGGCCATGATCTCTCATCTGAAAACCCCTTATTTGTCTTTCTAGTAATTCATGATATCCATAAAGCTTTCCTCAAGCACCGCATTTCAAAATCCTCTCTTTTTCTTCACTGTCCGGCATCTGTTCATAGTAATTGGGAATACAATGGTGCCTCGCATTATGACAGTAATTCGTTCCAGCGAAATCGCTGTAGAACGAAAACATCGTAATGCAAAAAGAAAAAACCCATTGAAATGCATTAAAACCTGTTGAATGCATCCCAAAGGGCTTGAAACTCACCATCCAACGAAGATCCTCTATAGGGTGGCCATTTTCGGTGCCTGTAATCCGAGGAATCTGTCCCAGAAAACAGCGGGGGGGGCATTTTGTTTACCCGGCAGCCATTTTGAAACCACCGATCAGCTGTTGGAAAATCATCGTTTTGCGAAGAATCGGTTCCCAAAGCAGGGAACCGATCATCGCAAAGCGAAATTCCTCCATAGGAAACATTGTTTTGTGTCACCTTTTATTTTTAGCAAAAACTTCGTCGTAATAAAATTTCGTTGTTAAAACGAGGCACCACTGTATTGTAGTGTGGATGATCCTGGCTTTCTTCTTTACGAGCACATCATTACACTTGGAGATCTCTTCTAGTTGCTTTACAGCTGTCTTTCTGAATCTGTCTTCATCAGTAGTCATTTCAACTCATTGCTGTTTTCTGCCGGGAATATGGTGTCATCTCATTATCATAAATTACTGATATTTCTTCTACCAGTTTTACTTCTCCCTTTTCTAAATCTAATCCAGCTTTCTATATATGTTCTGCAAACAAATTGAACTGATAGAGAAAATGCATCCTTGGTTAACACATTTGCCAATGAGAAACCATACCAGTTCTCCATATGGTATCCCATCCTAACAGTAGCTCTCATCCAGATACAAGATGAAGACAATCAAATGCTGTGGCATACCTGTTTCATTTAGAGTGATCCATTGTTTCTCATGATCTGTAATCAGAGCCTTTACTATTGTCAGTAAAGCACAAAGTGTTTTTATTCTAAAATTCTTTGGCATATTCTAGTAACAAACGTGCAATGTGATCCCTAGTATTTCTTCATTTTCTGAATCTGTCATGAATGTTGGCCATTTCTTGCTCAATATATAGTAAAAGGGTTTTTTGTATAGTCTTGAACATCACTCTATATAGGAAATTAATGCAATGGTCCTATAGTTAATTGCAATATTTGGTCTCTTCTTTCTTTGAGATCGGAATGTACATTGATCATTTGAAATCTGTGGGCCATTGTTTTGTTGGCTGAAATCCCGTTTATATAAAGTGCACCATGCACGGCCAATTATATCATCAGCTGGGATTACTTTTTTAAAGTAAACATTTCCTCCTTCTGTCTCAAGACACCCACAGGATCTGTGTAATTCCTTTCATCATCAGGAACCTGAGGAGGCCATAGAACGGGAGGAAGGATTCTTTAATTATTAAAAATTGCCGGTGCCAGTAAACAAATGCTGGCTGATGACATCATCAACCTTGCATAGAGGAACTTACACAAACAGGATTTCAGCCAGCCTCTGTATTTGTTGGCATATTCCTTTTAGAATTTTGAGATTCATTTTCCCCAAATGCTGTTCTATGTGATTTATTTCTTCCAGCCATTTTAAAAGTGGCTTTCACTTCATTTTCTAATATTGCAACTCTTTTGGCAAAAGATTCTTCAAAGGAATTTGTCATTTTCATGACATAATTGTTTCCATCCTGTGTTCATTTTACCCTGATAAGATATTCTCACCATCCCTAATTTGGTTTAAATTTCTTTTTGATTTCTTGAATGTTATGGAGGAAAACCTTTCTTGATTGTCCCCTTCTATCTGTTCACAATTATTATTGTTATAGTTCTCTGGTTCTTTTATGTTAATTGCTGAAAAGTTACATTTAGAATTCTAATCCTATTTC